CCCTGCAGAGGAAAACACAGGGATATCCATCCCTCAGAGGGAAACACAGGGATATCTCAGTGTAAAAGGAAACACAAGGGTATCTCAGTGTAAAAGGAAACACAAGGGTATCTCAGTGTAAAAGGAAACACAGGGGTATCTCAGTGTAAAAGGAAACACAGGGATATCTCAGTGTAAAAGGAAACACAGGGATATCTCAGTGTAAAAGGAAACACAGGGATATCTCAGTGTAAAAGGAAACACAAGGATATCTCAGTGTAAAAGGAAACACAGGGATATCCATCCCTGCAAACAGGGAAACACAAGGATATCTCAGTGTAAAAGGAAATACAGGGATATCTCAGTGTAAAAGGAAACACAAGGGTATCTCAGTGTAAAAGGAAATACAGGAATATCCATCCCTGCAAAGGGAAGCCAACACACCAACAGCCCTGGAAAAGGAAACAAACACAGGGATGTGCCTGCTTTCCTGGTATCCCTGCTTTCCAAGGGTGAAAGCAGCTGCTGGCACTGCCACTGGAACCCCTGGCTGTGATTGCCAGGAACATTTTCCTGCTCGTGTGCAATAAATCCAAATCCCTGGCTCCTCACAGATCCCCCCTGCCCTGGGAGTGCCGGGAGAGCTGGATGTGTTCACCAGGAGCTCTCAGGACCACCAGCCTCACCAATAAAGAGATTGCTCCTGGGTTAATTTCTGTAATTTAAGTGGGAAAACAAACTTCACTCAAAGTTTCTCTTGAGTTGGGGAGGTAAAAGGAAAAGCGCCAAAAAACCATAAACTCAATGAGCAAAACAAAAACTTTGTGAGGGCTGTGGTTAAAGGCAATCGTTCCCAGACTGGGCTTGGCAGTGCTTGAATGCTCCAGGAACAAAGAGAGGTTTGATGGCTTTTCAGGGACAGCAGTGGGGTCCTGCTGTGCCATTCTCTGGCCCCAAACAGGGAGCCCCAGCACCAACTCCAGTACAAGATAATCCAATTTGGGAAGCCAAAACCCGAGTGCTTGTAAATGGAGATGTGCTTCAAAGACGTGTTTAGGAAATACAGAGGGTCAGAGGCCCTGGTCAGAGTATTTCATGAGAAAATAGAACCCAGACTTCACAGAGAGCAGCCCTATTTATCTCCTAACCTGTGATCTGGAGTTACCTGGCAGAGTTACCCTCCGTGTCTGGGGGTGCCAATGGCACTGACTCCGCTCTGTAAAGGGTCAGGACATCAACCCTACACTGTGGACCTGATTTTCTGTGAGCCTGAGGGAATTGCAGGCTGTCAGGAGCAGATCTCTTCCCAAGGGAAAGTTTCTTGGGGAATCTCAAACTCAAAGAGAACATTTGTAAATCATCTTTCTTTCTCAAAACAGTTCTGTGTAACTGTAGTGTGTTTTTCTCTTGTGCCACCGATGGGACAAGAGGTGATGTTCCCTTACCCAATCCTGTTAACCCTGTAGTGTAGGATTCTATAAAAGCTGACAAGTTCAAAGAATAAAAACCCCTTTTCCTAACAACTCGTGGTGTGTGCTGTGAACTGACACTGATACGTGGTGTCCAACAGCGACACTGCACTAGGAGGGTTCATTTGGCATTAGGAGAAAGAAAAGACGTGAATGAGAAGGACCAAAATCTCCTTGGGATGTCCCACGCCACACCCTTGTCCCTAAGCAGGAGCCACACAGAACCAGGTGAGCTTTAGGGTCCATTCCAACCCCAAGCACTGCAGAATTCCATGAAAACCTTCCCTAACAGAGGCATAACAACACCCCCTTGGCCAGGCAGCGCTGCTGGTGATGCTCCTGGGATCCAGGAGTGCCAGACCACCCCTCCACAGCTCCAAATGACACCAGCAGTGTCCTGTGCCAAGGGCTCAGCTTCCACCCCAGGGGTGCCAGCAGGGCCTGTCCAGCAGGCTCTGAGCTCCCAGGGGTGTGCAGCACACCCAGCTGGCACAGGGCTCCTGCCAGGCAGCCCAGAGCACGGCAACAGGAGCCCTCCACTCCAGAAATTCCAGCTGATTCCCTCTCAGAAATTCCAGCTGATTCCCTCTCCAGAAATTCCAGCTGATTGATTCCCTCTCAGAAATTCCAGCTGATTTCCACTCCAGAAATTCCAGCTGATTCCCTCTCCAGAAATTCCAGCTGATTGATTCCCTCTCCAGAAATTCCAGCTGATTTCCCCTCCAGAAATTCCAGCTGATTTCCACTCCAGAAATTCCAGCTGATTCCCTCTCCAGAAATTCCAGCTGATTCCCTCTCAGAAATTCCAGCTGATTTCCCCTCCAGAAATTCCAGCTGATTCCCTCTCCAGAAATTCCAGCTGATTTCCCCTCCAGAAATTCCAGCTGATTTATTCCCTCTCCAGAAATTCCAGCTGATTTCCTCTCCAGAAATTCCAGCTGATTTCCACTCCAGAAATTCCAGCTGATTTCCCCTCCAGAAATTCCAGCTGATTTCCACTCCAGAAATTCCAGCTGATTTCCATTCCAGAAATTCCAGCTGATTCCCTCTCCAGAAATTCCAGCTGATTGATTCCCCCTCCAGAAATTCCAGCTGATTCCCTCTCCAGAAATTCCAGCTGATTCCCTCTCCAGAAATGCCAGTTGATTTCCCCTCCAGAAATTCCAGCTGATTCCCTCTCCAGAAATTCCAGCTGATTGATTCCCTCTCCAGAAATTCCAGCTGATTTCCCCTCCAGAAATTCCAGCTGATTTCCCCTCCAGAATTACCAGAGCTCTCTTTGCAGAAACATCCAAACGCTGCCCTCCTCCCCAAAGCTCTGAATGAGCCAGGAGTCACTGCTGGGGACAGAGGCCACCCTGCTCCTTCCAAACACACGGCACAGAGCACATCAATCCATGGTTTGCACTCTGTGAGAGAATAAGAACTGCTGCTCCTCACAGCAAATAACACCTCGGAGTAGCTGGAGCTGCAGCTGTTAAATTATGCACATTACCCTTCGCCGGGCTCCGTGCTCACTCCTTTATCTGAGGAACGCTGCAGCTCCATTGAGAAAACAATTATATCATTACTGATAACTGGGGAAGGCAGAGCTGCCGTTGGAGCAGCTCCCGAAATGAATCCCGTGCAGAAACCTGATTAACTTCCCCTTTATCCCACTTAACTGAGCAATTTGCTCCCAGGATTTTTATTACTCTTCACATTAAGTGCAGATATTCCATAGGAAATCCTTCCAGTGCAGCCAGAACACCTGGAGAAGCAGCCTGGGATGTGATGGACCGGCACCAACCACAGCAACATCTCAAGAAGGATGGGAAGGAATTGGTGACTGGCCCTGGCACAGGTGCCCAGAGCAGCCCCTGGGTCCCTGGCAGTGCCCAAGGCCAGGCTGGGGTGGGATGGGTGGGATTTGGGGTCCTTCCCACCCAAACCAGGCTGGGATTCTGTGATCCCATCATTTCCAGAGGTGTCTGGGGGGATTTGAGCTCCTCCCTGCACTTCTCCCGCCCGAGGGAGCTCAGCTGGAGCCAGCTCTGGAGCTGCTGCTGGAGGAGGAGCAGGGTCCAGCTGCAGGGCTCCTGAGCAAGCAGCCATGGACACGGGCACTGTCCAGGGGGAGGAAATCCCTTCCCTTCCCCTCCCGGGCTCCCTGCAGCCCACAGAGGTGGCACCAGGCTGGCAGTGTCCCTGCTCTGCCTGGCACTGCCCCTCAGCTGCTCCCAGGAACACTCTTGCCTTGTCTCTACCATCCTGCATGTGATAAAATACGCTTCTGCACGTTTAAAATACTGAAATATTTTAAAATATTGAAGTCTTTTAAAGGTGCAGAAACAGGAGGGGCTGTGGCTGCCCTGCCCAGACCCCTCCTGCAGCACACCCATCCTGCCATTCCCCTGGCACACAGCTGCTTTTATGTGTAAGAAATACCAATAAATCCTCTAACAAACAGAAATGAATTAACCCCAGGGCTTCCCCACAGCAGTGACTGCTCCAGCTGAGCCAGGGCAGGGCTGGCAGGAGGAGAGGACGGCAGAGCCACAGCCCCAAACACAGCCCCAGCCTGGAGAGCCAGGGTGTGCCAGGGCATTCCCTGCTGATGGATCAGGCTGGCCCAGGAGCCAGCATCTCCTGCAGCAGCCAAACCTCAGCGCTGGTGGCAAGCACAGCGTGCTGGGCTCTGCAGCTGCAGCTGCTCCTGGGGACAGCCCACGCACAGGGCAGCTCTGCTCCCACCCCGGGACAGCACCTTCTGCTCTGAGGAGAGCAGGAACAGCTGGCAGCAAACCAGGAATTCTCATTCCCACTTTAAGGGTGTATTTAGGGGCTGAAGTATCAGTGGCACTTTTCTCCTCAATGTTCTGGATAGAGCTGCTCTTTTAATTTACTCCTGCAGCGACAAAACAGAGATTCAGCCCTACTGGAAAGCACAGTCTGCTCTTGTCCAAGGATAAATGTTCTTTTCCAGGTATAAATCTAAGTTACCTAAAGCATCACAGAATATTTACACAGTTAATATTTATATTTATAGCTTTTAGTTCTTCTGTTGAGTTATGCAGATTAACGGCATTTATTTCACAAATGACTGAGCCTTTGTGAGATGATGGATCCACTGCTCCTCTCTGCTGCTGGCTGTCTGCACACACCCCACCAAAGCCTGGAAATGAGCAGCCAGCAGAATCCTACACGGGCAGGGCCATGGAATCACTCAGCGTGGAATGGATGGAATCAATGAATCACAGGATCAATGTCAGCGATTTCTCGTTTGGAAACAAACCCAGTGGGTGGGGAGAGGTCGGGCCCTTCCCTGCAGAGGCCACCAAGCAGCTACAGAACAGCCTGGCACCATCTGCTGCAATCACACACGGCCTTCTCCTCCTCTCAGAGTCACTGAGCTGCACTTGGCCACCGAGGCTCTGCCCAAGCAGAGATCTGCAGCTGAATGGAAGCCAACCTCCGCTTCAGAGAGCAGCTTTGCCTCTCTGGGGGATGCATTAAGGGAAAACCACCAAGAAACAGGCAAGTGCTTAATTATTGATGGACTCATTTCCTGACCTGGGATGAGCTGAGGGGCCAGGACGAGCGTGGGCAGCGGTCTGGAGGCAGCAGCTGGCCTGGCCACAGCCATGGCCACTTGATTGCTCAGCAGCAGAGGCTTCTCAGCCCCCTGGAACAGCCTGGACTCCTCAGGCTGCACCCAGGCCGGATCCAGGGCAAAGGCATTGTTCAGGTAGATCTGTCCAACAGAAAGAAAGAAAGCAGAATGTCACAGTCTGAGATCCAGAATTCAGAAACACAGGTGAGAACAAAGCGTCTTTAGCTCGGGATGTGAGCTGGGGACAAACCTCCCGGAGCAGGAGGGTTTCTGCTCCCTCCACGCTGAGCCTGAAGTGAAGTGACCACTTAAAGTGAATTGGCTGTGACACGACTCAGAGTGGCTGTGGCAGCACAGGGGACAAGGGACCCCTGAGGGCAGCGCTGACACAGCCACTCCTGTCACCCCAGGGCACCGCGGCCACCGCCGGGACGGACACGGGGATGGACAGGGGAGACAACAGGGACAGACACGGGGACAAAACCGGGACAGACAGGGGACACAACAGGGACAGACAGGGGACACAACAGGGACAGACAGGGGGACAAAACCGGGACAGACACAGGGACAAAACAGGGACATACATGGGGACAAAACAGGGACAGACAGGGGACACAACAGGGACAGACACAGGGACAAAACAGGGACAGACATGGGGACACAACAGGGACAGACAGGGGGACAAAACAGGGACAGACACAGGGACAAAACAGGGACAGACACAGGGACAAAACAGGGACAGACAGGGGGACAAAACAGGGACAGGGGGACAGCAGCCGGACACAGGGACAGACAGAGGGACAGCAGCACAAATCCAGGTGTTCAGCTCTCAGCTGGCAAAGGGCCAGATGTGGGAACAGAGGTGGGATGGGGACCCCAAGGGCCACCCTGGCAGCAGCCACGGTGACACTGCTCTGTGTGTGTCACTCTGTGGCACTCCTTTGGGACAAACAGTGGGAAAACCGGGGAGAAGGGGGAGAGTGAGAACCCCCATAATCACATCTCGTAGGAAAATCGGTTCTACTCAAAGCAATAAATGTTAAAGACATTTTATTCCTATTAAAACTTGGGAACAGTGAAGCTGAAACCGCTCCTCCGTCACCTGCCCGTCCCTCCGCAGGGTTTTCCTGACAAACACCGACCTCCCACAGCCCCAAACCCACAACAGCCTTCAGCTTTATGTTCTCCACGTCCTCCAACCCCCCAGGCAGGCTGGCACTCACTTTGCAGCTGGGCAGCCTTTTGTCCATCCAGCCCTTCCCGTGCGGTGGCACCGAGGCTGCGAACACGGGCGGCAGCACCGGCACCAGCTCCACGCTGGAAGAAGGGGAGAACCCGACCACGGGCGAGTGAGCTCCAAATATCCACTTCGGGGGGAGGAAAACCCAAAAAACAAACAAACAAACACAAGAGGAGGAGTTAACGAAAGGATTTTACCCTGAGTAACCGATAATTTCCTGATTGAGTGAGAGATGAGCACGGGACATGGCAGGAAGCCTCCAGCCCGACGAGGGTTTGTGTTTGCTCGGGCACGGCGGAGCCTCAGGGCCGGGAGCATCCCCGGCGAGCGCTTCTGGCTCCCGGCGAGCGCTTCTGGCTCCTGGCGAGCGCTTCTGGCTCCTGGCGAGCGCTTCTGGCTCCCGGCGAGCGCTTCTGGCTCTCAGCGAGCCCCGAGCGCAGCACCGGGAGCTGCTCCAGATGCGGCTGCACAGCCAAAGGAGCGGCAGAAATGCATTTTTTCTCCACGTAAATTCGCCTGGCAAGTGGGTTCCCACAGCCAAACCACCCCTGCGGGTTCGTGGAGAGGTCTCCCGCTGGGGAATAATTGATGTTCCCGTTTCATTAGAGCAGCACCGACTGTTTTCTCCCGAACCGCAAGAGACGCTCGAGCTCGAAAAGGCTGGAAATCATCCCAGGGAACCGAGCGGGCGCCACAGCGCTCACGGCTCGCGTTTATTTTTACTTCTGTCTCCCAAAAACACGTAAAGCCGAGGCAAAACTGCGCGCAGGGCTCCGAGCCCTCGGCGCTGAGGGGCGAGCGCCCGGCTGGAGGCGCCGCCGCTGGAGCAGCCCCGCGGCACAATTAATAATTGAAATATTCATCAGGGAAAGCACTGGCGCGACACGCTGGTTCCAGTGACACGGCTCAAAACTTTGGTCTTTATAAATATTCACAGAACGCTCAGCGGCGATGCTGCCCCGGCTGCCGGAGCGCGCCTGGAGCATCGCTCCCGTTGCGGCTGCACCTGCGGAAAGCTCATCCCGCAGCCGGAGGGGAGCCCAGGCCCCCCGGAGGGACCCCCAGACCCTCTGGGAGCCCCTCTCCCCCTCTCCTCCCGGAGAAATCCAGAGCTGCTGGAAGTGCCGCTCCCACACGCGCGGGGCCGCGACCGGGAACCGAGCCCGAGGGGCGCAGAGCATCGGGAAGGGAGATGGAGAAACCGGGGGAGATGGAGAAACCGGGGAAGGGGAGATGGAGAAACCGGGGAAGGGGAGATGGAGAAACCGGGGAAGGGGAGATGGAGAAACCGGGGAAGGGGAGATGGAGAAACCGGGGAAGGGAGAGATGCAGCACCCCGAGGGAGGGAGATGTAAAACCCAGGAAGGGGGATGGAGAGCCCGGGGAAGAGGAGATGCAGAGCCCGGGGAAGGGGAGATGGA